ACAGATAAACCCTGTCTCGAAAAAAATCCAGACTTGTGAGCACAGTAGGAAGGTCTGGGTGTGGTCAGCTCAACCACCTTGCCCCAGCACCTCTTGGGAATGCTACATTTCTTGGGACACACATTTCTGGCTCTTCTAAGCTGGATTCCCTGGTGCCCAAACAAAACTTCTACATCCTGACTGACTAACGACTTGGTGGAGAAGACCCTCAAGAACTGCGAAATCATCCCCATTACCGCTAAGGAATGTATTAACATATAACCGCCAGGTACTATGCTAAGTACCTTATGCATTTTCCTATTAAACCGAGAAAACCAAAGATGCAACAGAGTCCACACAAGTCTCCCTGACTCCAATGCTCCACCACGCACATTTCTAGAATAATCCTGAACAGATGCGGGCTATCATGTTAACAATTCCATATCTCTAAACAGGATGTCCTAGAGAAGGCATCTACTAAGTGCTTAGCAGACTAATAGTGCTTTTAAAGAAAAGAAGTAATTACCATCCTTGCTGGCACACTGCTGAAGAGGGGGGTCAGTTCTCCAGTGGGGGGAGAATGCAAATCAGGTTCTTAAGCCTAAACAGCAAGCTCAGAGCTCAGCTCCCCCCACCCCCATTCCAAGCCCCTGGAACCTTCTCTAATTAACACTGCAGAAGTCCGGTCTTTGGGCAGAGAGCTCAACCATAAACTGATTAGTATCCAACTCTTGCCAAAGGCTCGTTTAAGACATCTGATAGCAGAGAGAGATGGCTTAATGTGCAGATTAACTGGCCATTCCGCTCGGCTCTCTACGCTTTAGCTATACACTAAATTGGATCAACACAAAGCAACATTTGTTTCCTGAAGCGATTCAAGTTCTCGAGACAAACTCCTTTTCCACACTTACAACTCACGCCCTCAGCTCTCAGCGAGTGTGGGTTTAAGAAACAATCCATTTGAACAGTCACTGAAGGCCTTTAGTAAAAGAACAGTTATGAGCACTGTCCATTAAATTATCCACTGCCCCTGAAATGAAAGAGCATGGGATAAACCCTGTGCCAAGAAAAAGTTTGCCTCTCTGAAAGAGTTTATGTTTTCTTTCTTCAGAGAACTGGATAATCACATCTTTTTGTCTCAATTTCAAAACTCACGAATCAGCCCTCAAGTGCAACAACTAATTCATCCCAACCTCCTCCCATGATCTATTCTTAGATTCTCTTTGCCCCTTTTGATCGTGATTATATTTTTATGTCTGCTGCTTTGTTCTTCATTTTGCAAACCAACTTATATCTTTTCCTCCTTCAAAGGCGGATACAAATCATAGCAAAGGGCCTTTTTCTCACCTTCAAAAAAAAAAATCACCTGGATTCCTCCATCCTGTTACAAAGGATCCTTGACTTTTCAGACCATTGGCAATATCAGACCCATGTAACACCACATACCTGAGGCCACAGTTCCCACTCCCTCATCAACCAGCACAGCAGCTCTGAAGACGAGAACAAAACCAGCTCATCTTTAAGACTAGATGATGGCCATCTCAGGCAGCGGAACTGATTTTCAAAACCAAAGATGTTCCCCATGTATAGTGATAACGCATAGGGCAGATCAAGTTGACCATCATTCTAAGCCATTCCCAAACAAGCAAAAATTAGCCACTGGGCAAGAGTCCGTTTTCCAAAGATGGTCAATAGTACATCCCACCTGGCCATTTAGTGCATATAAGTTCTCCGTCCGTGCCTGGAAAAAGTAAGTATTCAGTAAATGGTAATTGTAACTCTTAACATATCAAGTGCAAAACTGAGTGGGGTGTCATATCTGCACAGGGATCCGACTTTCTTAAGAACACCCCTGTGAGCCAGGTGTGGTGCGGGCGCCTTTCATCCCGGCACTCAGGAGGCAGAAGCAGGCGGATCTCTGTGAGTGATCCAGCCTGGTTTATAGGGTGAGTGATTTCCAGGACAGCCAGGGTGGTTACACAGAGAAACCTGTCTCAAAAAACCAAAAAAAGAAAAAAAAAGTGCCTCTGTGACAACAGTCTATGTCACACAACTCAGGATGATCTATACACTTAGCAGGTCATCTACCTCCCTTGCTTTTTTTTGGGCACATCTTCATTATGCTATACAGACTCCCAGTTGTATTTGATGGAATGCACAAACTACACTTCAGAGACAACATTTAAGGTCTGGGTAGAGAATGCAGTTTGCAGACTATGACTAAAGGCCTGTGGCTGTACTCTGGGCTGACTATGACTAAAGGCTTGTGGCTGTACTCTGGGCTGAGTTGCCTCCTGACAAGTGTCCAAACAGCTGCAAAGCATGAGTCATAGACAGGGAAGAGGGTGAAGACTTAAGAGGAAAAAAGAGAAAAACACAGTTGTTTTTCATAGTATTTACCCTCCTGGTGAGTTCACGTGTGCACAAGGGTCTCTGGATATTCTAAGCCATGGCTACACCTGCACACAGTTCTGGTTTTAATATGCATGGGTTTTATATCACCTGTACCCTGGGGTTGACATTTTCTCCCACTCAGCCAACACTGATCGAGTGCTTATTCGGTATAAGACACGGGAGAGAGTATGGGACGCTACTGGAGTTCTACTCACTGGAGATATGCACCAATGACTTTCACAATGGCGCTGGTACTCTTCAGGAAAACAGATGACAGGATCCTTGGGATAATAAAGGAGTCTTTCCCACAGTTTAGCCTCTTTATTCCTCCTCAATCTCTGGAGAACACGTCACCAACAAATCCCTTCCAGTTACAAAGCCCATTCCCTCCCAGAGCTTGCCCCTGATGTCTGACAGTGCCTGTGCTTCCCCCAGGGTATGTGGGATCAATACAGCAGGACTTCAAAGAAGCCCTTGAATTGAAGTACAGGCAGAATTTAAAAAAAAAAATCCTGGAGCTAGGATTCAGAAGTTGGAGGGGAGAGGTGGGGGGAGAAAGCCGGAGTGGGAATTTGACAGCACCACACAATGCACTCGGATCAGAGCTGTGAGACAGATTCAAGTCCAGAGATGAAAACTCTTCCCTCGGTGCTGACAACATCTGTTTTATTTTGAAGGTTGCTAAGGAGCGTCCTAGCTGGGCCAGCATTGTTCCAGCTCGGGACTTCACAGCGCGCCTCACGCGGGCTTCTGACTGCACGAATGAAAGCTCTCCAGATAAGCCTGCTCCTTTTGCCTTCCAGATATCAAAGCGCCACTTTGCAGCCGGGCTGACTGACACCCCAACACCCCACTCACCCCTGGCTCAGCCCTGACCGGACTTTCCCTACTGCTGATTCTCTAAGGAGTCTTCCCCCTGCACCCCCGTTCCCACTTGCCAAGTTCCCATCTGTGCCGAAGAAGGCTTACTGAGGACAGACAGACAGGGAGCTCACCCTAGAGCCATAGAGGACCGCTATGGAAGATGGAGAACTACCTAGGAGCTGAGGCACACACAAGCCAGAGGAGTGTTAGCACCAGGCAGTTGGGGAAGTCATTTCCTGGCCTTTAAAGATCAGTGCTGCCTCCTTAATCACAGAAAAATCAAATGCCTTTGTCAGGTCCACGCTGTAAACAGAAGAGCTGACCACAGGCCTGTCCACTGGGGAAACGATGTAGGTGGGGAGCCAGGGGAGCCCGCCACACCCTACAAGCCCATCCCTCCTAAGCCTAGTAGCAATTACAAGCCTTGATGAACAACAGAAGGGGCTAGCACACACTCCTTCCAGTGGACAGACACACAGGAAAAAAAGATGAGGAAAAAGGACACTATAGGAGATAGAGTCAAAACCAATCAGGCATAAGATGGAGCCACAGAGGGAATCACAGTAAGACAAGGCAAAAACACGTGAGACAAAGGGAAGACACAGCAGGAACCACATGCATGATAAAGTGAGGACAGCAGGGAGCACACATGGTAAAGTGAGCACTCGTCAGGGAGCACACATGATAAAGTGAGGACAGCAGGGAGCACACATGATAAAGTGAGCACTCATCAGGGAGCACACATGATAAAGTGAGGACAGCAGGGAGCACACATGGTAAAGTGAGCACTCATCAGGGAGCACACATGGTAAAGTGAGCACTCGTCAGGGAGCACACATGATAAAGTGAGGACAGCAGGGAGCACACATGATAAAGTGAGCACTCGTCAGGGAGCACACATGATAAAGGGAGCACTCTCTGGGGAGCATATGCACAATGAAGGAGGACTCTCCTGGGAGTACACGTGTGACAAAGTGAGGGCTCCCAAAGGAGCACAAGCATAATAAAGTGAGAGCCCCCAGGGAGTACATGCATTATAAACTGAGCACTCTCCAGGAAGCATTCATGATGACAAGATGAGGATACATCAGTTGACATGACAAGACAGAACATGGCCACAGTCACATATGTGATTAGGGAAGGGCACACATACATGACAAATGGGGTGGGTGACACTATGAGGTCACACCAGGAATCGTTCCACGTGTCACACGCTGCTATAAAACATGGAGTGAGGTGACACCTCTGCTTCTTCACCAAGGGAGCAACACCTGGGCTGAGAGCCTGAGGAGAGACAGCGAGGTGGGTGGCCCTACTGTAGCCCCTACTGTAAACGGCATCTGCAGATAAAACCACTACGGGCTGAGCGGGGAGAGAACACTCTGGTTAGCTGGACGAGGTGACTGCTGTTTCTTGTTGCCTGCCCTTCAGGAAGCACTAGCCCAGGGCAGAAATGTCTAGGGGTCTAAGTAAGGAGAAGAGAATGGCTGTCTCTTCCCTCAACAAAGAGCCACTGAGCTCTCACAGGCAGGTGACTCTCACCAACAAAGGAACCCACATTCTCCAGCAAGGGCATTGGAACAAAAATCACCTATGCTTTTCCTTGCTGGCCAGACTGTTTCAGCCCATCATGCTTCCCTCCAGCCTAGGAGCTGGGGGGCTCAAGGACACTTGTCTGATCCAAACATCTAAATGAGGCACACCGCCTAGCATACCACAGGCTTCCTGAGTGCACAGGAAGGATTAAGCAGACAATTACTCACCTAGCCAGGTCACGCTTACACTGGACGGGGCAGACATGGCCTCTGCCACCTTGTGCCAGCTCCTGTTATGTCCAGGAGCCCAGAGGGCCACAAGGCAAAGGTAGTAGCCAGAGTTTTCTTTGCTAGCATCCCGCACCAGCAGATGGTAAGAGCGGGTATCCACGTGGCTGAGAGCAACGTGTGGTGAGCTGTGTACCAGGGAGTCACGGTCCAGCCGGGCCAGCATGTGAGAGGCAAGCAAGGAGGCATCAGGTGTCTTTTTGAAGTACCATGTCACCTCGGGTCGAACATCATCCACACAGTCTGTTGTGATGTTGCAAGAAAGGTCCAGGTCCTTTCCTTCAGTCACAGACACAGTCCTGGGCACAGCCAATTGCAGAGCTAGAAGAGGAAAAACAAGTCTATCAAGCGATCGAGTGGTTTGCCCTTTCTAGACCCTCCCTTCTCCTTACCACCCCCTAGATCACCTCCTTTTAAGCTGATTTATAGTGTTAAAATTAGAAGGCTTTGTGCAGTTGAAAGTACTTGAGGAATAGTTAATGAATAAATTCATGACACACACTAAATTGGTTTTGGAAAAGAGAAGCAACGAACGCCAGCAAACACTTTATCACTTTCATGCACTCACTGTACATTAATTCTGAAAATAACAATATGAGGTGGATACTACTATGGTCATTTTATTGATATGGAGGCTGAGGCAGAATAGCTCCATGGTAGAGTCCTCCCCTAGCATCCCTGGCTCCAGTACCCTGAGGGTGGGGGTGGAAAATCCTACACAGATAAGCCAGAAAGTAAAACCAGACAATTCTTGTGAGTCAGCCCTTCACAATGTGATGTATGTAGACTATCGCTTCATTAGACATGCCCAGCTGAAAATCAAGCATGAGACATACTCTGAACCCCAAACCCAACGAGTTTTGCATTCTCCCTGCTACTGTCCTCTCATGACTATGGGCGATTAAAAGTAAGACATAATTAGGGAAAGCCTTGAAGTATTGGATGTCACAGACTCAAGGAAGGTTTTGCTCAGCATTCTATAGTCAAAGCTTTTAAATGGAAATATTTTACTCTATTCAGGGAGTTTTTAAGACGTCGAACATCTGTAATCAGAGTAGAAAAATTCAAGTTACAACGATACTCTGGGAACTGTCACTAAATGACAGACAGCCAACTTCTCCCAGTGGAGTCAAGTGAGACACAGTCCCCACCTTCTACCAGAATCCATTTAGCACCCACTGCTGTTCCCTGGAAGCTCAGGGACAAAGGCTTGTGCCCAGTTCAGAAAACACCAAACCCAAGAGCCCACACCCTCCAGCAGATACTGCTTCCACATGAATATTTCCAAATCTTGACAATGTTTCAAACGAGTATTTCAAGTCAAGTTCAACATCCATCCCAGCACTTGACAGAAAATGAGGTAGACACAGATCAGGGAAAAGAATCTGAAAGTCTGGTTTGTCCTTCTCTTTCTCCTCTTTATAGATCGAGAAATGCATTCCTAGGATCCAGAAATACTGGCAGCAATGTCTTTTCACTTTGCTATTTTCTTAGTGAAAGTGGCTAAATATCTGTCCTACCAGTAACCATGGGTCCCAGTATTCCAGATGTAAAGATTTGGCAATGGGAGATGAAACAGAGCTGGGGATGGGGGATGGGATGAGGGTGCAGTTCTAAGGATTAAGAATGCATGAGGAGATCTGGGCAAAGCCTGTGGCATTCTAGGTTTTCTCTTGTAGAATACTGCTAAATCTTCAAGTTACATACTAAGATTTGTATCACCAGCCACTCCCACCGTAGGGAGGACCTACCCACCACACGGATGGCACAGCTATCTAAGGGTTCTGTGCCATTTACAATGCCACTATGGTCAGAGAACATGGGCAGGTACCTGTGACAGGTGCACAGATTGATAATAAGCAAAAGAGCATCCCTCAGCTGGGTATGGTGAGACATGTCTGCACTCCCAGCACTTGAAACAGAGGTAGGCAGATCTGTGTGTGTTCAAGATAAGCCTGTAAGTTACAGGCCAGTAAGACACTGTCTAAAAACATAAATAAGTAGACAAAGAGGGCTGTGAGGATGGAGGGAGAGAGGAAGGAGGAGAGGGAAGGGGGGGATCACATGTAAGTGAGCTCACAGCCACCAAGCCCAGGGATTCTTAACTTGTAGTGCACAGAGGACTTAGGGAGTCTGGGCATGTGGATGGGAAAATTTGTCCCTATTTTTATTTTCATTATATTATATTTCATTCATGCTGGCATATTACAAATCCTCCCTTTGTAAGTAAGCAATAAGGCAGTAGAGTATGGCCTATACCTGGGGCTTGTCCTCAACAGAAGCAACAGATCTTCATACGTCACCTTATAGGAGTTGTAGACATCTGAAACATCATTTACATTCACTGCTTCCCTAGAAATTATGATGGCTGTTAGGCCTGCCAATATGGCTTATTGCTCATGTGTTAATAATGAAGTATAATTTAGTATAGAACAAATGTGTCTTAAAGATATTTGGTAACTACTTCAGTATAATTCTTTCAGTGTCACCTTATATACTGTGTTTCATGAATTAAGAGAGTTACAGGCTTCAAAAGACTGTCAAAGAGACCCATCACACACGAAAAGATCACAAAGTCAAGCATGCTGGTGCAAGTCCGTAGTCCTAGCTATTCCAGATACTGAGGCTGGAAGAACACAAGTTCAAGGCCAGGTGGAGTCACTTATCAAAGTCCCACCCCAAAATAAAAAGGGCAACATAGCTAAGCAATAGGTGCTTGCCTAGCAAGTGGGAGGCCCTGGGTTCAACACCAGAGAGGATGGTGAAGCCTCAACCTCAGGATGGAGCTGCTATGCCGGGTCTTGAATCCCAATCATGTAACTAGATGCTACGGGTTTGTTGTATGTTTGAAACATGCCCCTCCTTTCTGATTGAAATTCCTACATTAAATGGTGAATTTGCTGCCAAGCTAAGCTCTTAGCCTGCTTGCCTCATTAAAGCAGTTGCTTGGTACACACTGAGGTTTCCTATAGCAGATCCCAGACAATCAGTTTGGCTACAGAATATGACCCTAGTCCACCTGGGAAGTCATTTCTGCAGCCACGGGAGCCTAGGCCCACAGTAATGGCCATGCCTCGGCTGCCCCAAGCTCCTTGTGAACGTATTCACACCCGTGTTCAGGTGCAGGGAATGCTGCCCAGAACCATGCAAGTTGCAAAAACAATCACTGGTTATAGTTTCTCACTTTCCTTCCCAGGGAACAGAGCAGGCCACACACTCACATTCCTGAGCAGGGAATGAATCCAGCCAAGGTCTCCTAGGAGGTAGGGGAGACCATTATCTGAAGATGTCAGACTCCTAGACAACCAGGTACACCCAGCTATCCCTGGCAGTGACAATGACCTGCAATGATTTCTTTGTACTCTGTCCTTACTGAGGCTTCAGGCTCCAGTGACCCAGGATTGAGCCTGAAGTAGTTCTGAGTCCAGAGCCCAGAACAGTGCTGAAATCAGTAGGCAACCTACCAATGCTTATCAAAGACTAATTCAATGATGGTTTTCTCTCGCTTTTCTTCTGTTTTTGTAGACTTCCTAGTATGACCTTTCTGCCTTGTTACCATAGCTGGGGATCCTAAAAGAGGGCATATTTGCAAATTATAGGACAAAAATTAATTGATATGGACCATGACTGGACTTTCTGGAGTATATATGGCATAGGAAGCAAGAAGAAGCCTGATCCATGGGGGGGGGGGGGGTGTTACCTGATGAGGGTGGAAAGGCAGGTTCAGAGTACACAGTGGCAAGAGGTTTAGAGTCAGTTGCACACGCACGCACGCACACACACGCGCGCGCGCACACACACACACACACACACACACACACACACACACACACACGCACGCACACACCCCTACCTAACGGGAGGTGGGACCCAAGGATTCAAGGAGATAGTAAACAAGAAAAGCTAAAGCAGCAGGTATGAGCAAATGCAGCCACACCCCTGGGGACATCAGGTGGGCCCTGACAGGACACCGTTCTTAACTTCTGAGTCAGACCTATACAAGGTAAGCAACAGCAGACAGCAGGAAGGCAAAACTCTGGCAGTAGCACACAGCTCAAAGGCCCGAAGCTACCAACACCACTCTGCTCCCCACACCCAACAAGGGGAAAGGTCAGTCCTTTTCTGGTCTAGTCCTGTATATGGCCACTGGTTCCAATCAGTGAGACATTTTCAAAACCTCACCTGTCGGCTGGATCACCACGGTGGCCACTTCCACAGCTTTTTCTTGGATTTCTTGCCAGCTGCCTTGCTCTGTGATCCACTCGCTGACCACACACCTGTAGGAACCCTGGTCTGCAGAGAGCGCCCGGGCCACGGAGAGGCGGTAGGCGTCACTGCCCACTGTGTCCAGGCGTACATCCCCACTGTGGTAGCGCTGCTCATAGCCAGGGCCTGGGTGAAACCTGCCCTCGTGGCTTAGGGCTAGGATGCTGCGGTGCACTGGACCACGGTGTAGCTCCCACCGAAGCACCAGGTGAGTATGCAACGGTGACACGGTGGACGCGACACATCTCAGCTCGAAGGGTTCCCCCTCACGCAGACTCAGGCCTGGAGGAGGCCGGGAGCTGGGGCCCACCACCAGGGCGTCTGCTAGCACTGTGAAGGACAGAGGGAAGACACCAGTCAGTGGTCATCATTGGTCCTACTCCGTAACTAAAGCATAGGCTACTTCTCATGACTCTGGCCTTGAGCCGTGGCGGATACCCAAGAAGGATTCCTCATTCCTTTTCTGGTTCTAAAGCCTAGAGAGGCAAGTCATCTATTCTGATCCACCCACTATCTCAACTGACTTTCTGACTTGAACAAACAAAAAGAAAAATGAGACAATAATAAAACTCCATCCAGCTAAAATGGGTTTGTGAGTATTTCTGTCACCATGATGCAGGTTTACTTTGCTCTCTGTGCCTCAGTTTCCTAGAAAGGAAGATGATTGGCTGTCCTCATTTCACAGGGCCAACAAGAGTCCAGTGAGTGCCATGACAGTGTCGAGCACCAGGATGAAATAGACTGGCGTGATGTCCAAGCAATCCTTTGGTTAGGACACAGGGCTGGAGGAGGGAGCCTGCAATCTAGAGACAAGTGAGCTGCCAAGACTCAAGATCTCCAGGGAGACGTGATGGCAGGAGCTGCCTGAGCCTCACATCCTGCATAAGGTATATCCCCAGGACAGGAAAGAGCTAAGAAATGCTGAAGGTTCTGCTGCTAATTCTTAGCACCAATGGGAAGAGGTCACTGCTAGTCTAGAAATGAGGGTGGGTCCAGGTGATGTGACAATGACAGATGCTGGCGATCTGGTAAGAGTCTACTAAGGGGTGGGAAAATCTTCCAAGCTCAACAGGAGCTACACATGTGGTTCTTCAGGTATCACAATTACTCCAGATACTAGGAACATTCCTCCTTTAGAAGAACACTTCCCATAGGCCCATCTCTTCTACAAAACTACTCTAGCGGTCTTCCAATACATACAGCAATCTGTGAGTATGGCTGCCATGGCTTCATTCTCAAGACCAGTTACTCAATGAGGCAGCTTCAAGACCCATGAAGCTGAAGGCCAGACGGATGGTGGACCCCGTCTAGCTCCTGCCAGAGACTCCACCTGGCCAGTCAGCCAGCCTCTCTCACACTATCCTTCTGCTCCCCTGAGCCAAGAAAAGCCTCCCCCCTGCTTCTCTTGCCTTCAAAGACGAGTGGAGAAATGGGCAGATACTAGGGAGGGGGAGGGGCTCTGTCACCCTCCACTTCTCACAATAAATCACAATAGTGCATCTGACCTAAGGGAGGGATGCTTTGTTGTACTGCTTAACTTAGTGCAAAATGGCTTATGGAAATCTTAAAAGGAAAAAAAAAGTCAGATCCCCTCTCTCCCACTTCTAGAAGCCAGATCTAGGGCCTTGCATATCTAGGCAATTACTCTACCACTGAACTTCTGAGTTTCCTGTGCCCTAGTCTCTAACCTCCAGATGGAGTCTTATTATGCAGCTCAAGCTGGCTTTGAACTCACTATATAGTTTACCCAGACTAGCCTCAAACTTTCAATCCTCACGCCTCAGTTTTCCAAGTGCTAGGTTTCCAGGTGTGTGCCACCATGCCCATAAAAAGGTATGTACACACCATAAAGAAGGTGTGTACCTTTTATGGGAAGATGGAAGAAGTAAATTTAATGGCTTAATGTTTTGGTTCCTACCTGACATGGCTGATATTTCATCCCCTCGTGGAAAAGCAGTTTCTACCAACCATGACAAAGGATGGGTGCCTGGATTAGCCCACTCCTTTTCTATCATCATTTTCTACTTTCTAGGTAATTGTATACAGTCCTTCCCTGATACAAATATTTTCAGAAACAAGGCAGGACACAAATAAATGCACAATTAGTAATAACAATAATAATGTTTCTATTTTGTTAGCCTCAAATTAAGATAGCTTCTTCTTACTCATTCGCTAATGAGCTATGTCATTTTAAGCAAGTAATTAACCTATGCACTTCTACCTCATGTGTAAATTAGGGAATAGCCTGTCCTATCTTCATTGAATTCAGATAACTGAATGTGTGAGCAAACCCAACAGCACTTAGAAGGCAAGGAAAACTCAAACTCAAGATATTCCAGATGACTATGATGTCAACTTTGCACAGCTGGGTTCACGAAATAGCAATAACCATGTGGTTTTTCTCATCTGTAAACAGCAAGTACAACTTCTGACACAAACAGGTATTAACTCGTAAATGCCCCAGAGAAAAGGACATGAACTTTGAAGTACCGATTTCTCCCATAAAGCCGAACCTCATAGTCATGCCTTCCAACTTGCCTTTAAGCTGAACACTTGCTATGACACAGTTGGAGAGGCCTGGCGTGGGTTACCTCTCCTGTCCCTGCGCCTTTTAAGGCAGGCTCTGTTGTACAGAGGGAGCTGAGGCATGGACTGAGCCAGGCGCCCTTTAGCTGACAAGTAGCAGAGCCAGGCGCTGACTGCACAGGCAACCTGACTCTAGAGTGGGGCTCTCACAGGTGACTACGCCATGGTGCCTACAACTCACTGGCCCTCTGATGCATCAGAATTGCACTGGGAAAGGAGAAGGGGCTCCCAGGGGTCACAGCATCACTGCGACGGACAGGGGCACTGAGTCTCTTTGCAGCAGCAGACACAGAAGAAGATCTGGGCCCTGTGTGAGAGCTGTACCTTTAACCTGCACTGTGTCCTCATAATTGCCCTGGACAGTGGCATCTGTGCTCGGGGTTGAGCACTTGTAGTGGCCCTGGTCTGAGGGCTGGACGTTCTTTATGTGCAGTTCCACAGCGTCATTGGCGGTTCTCCTCAGGAGGATGTCGCCCCTCTGTAGCCGCTCCCGGTACAGCTGTGCTGGGAAGCCCACTTCCCAGGTGCTGGCGAGCTCCACGAAGCTGCTTCCCGAAGATGAGAAGCTCCAGTCAAAGTTCTGCTCGCTGGGGCCATCGTAGTCGCTGACATTGCAGGGGATCACCAGCTCAGTGCCCACCACTCGAACCAGGCTGCCTGCAGGGACTCTCACCACACGACCTCGACAGACAGCTGCAACGACAGGAAATAAAGGCGGACCGTTAGCCAGGGAAGGCCTTCTTGGTATGACAGTGACATCTGAAGGATGTTTCTGCTCGGGGGCCCAGGGCAGATGGTGGCATCTGAATCTCTAAGAAAATGGACCCCATAGAAGAGGATTAAGCCATTCCTGAAGTTATTGGTCGGAAGTAGCACTTTCAAATGAGCGTCTTCCACACAACCAGTCTCCCAGGGCTGACAGGGAGACTAAATATGAAAAGTGGTCTAATCATGGCCTCAAAAGGCTTTGTCTCTTCTGTTAGCATTTAACATACTATCATCATGCAATGAGACATGAAAAGTTTCTGTGTGAAAGAAAAGGACACAGATCAGCACATATTTACATTCCTGCCCATCCCACATCAACCTTCATCCCTAGAGACCATGCCCAAGACCTGATTTATAATGATGGATGCCAATTTTCAAATCCTCGAGCCGCCTGCTGATTAAATGATTTAACTCCTGTTATCTGACATTGGTTATAAATTATTTTAAAAATATGACAATTTCACCAAGTATTAATTTTCTATTTTCTGGCTCATTTCCTTCTCTCTACTCTTCACTCTGATCTAAATGCAGAAGCTCAGAGGGAGGGAGGGATGCTGCCTGGGGTTGTCAGGAATACGGCAGTTTGTGGACAGAGCCAACGGCTGGCTGGCATTACCTGCCAGGAGAGCCTGTGCTCCACAGACCTCCGGGGCAGGGCCCTCAGTGACAGGCACCTACCTGTCCCTTTAGAGGGTCTCACTACAATGAACTTCATTCATTTAGCACTATTCTGTGGCATTGACAACCTGGATTCGGCATTTCCATTTAGATCAAATAACTAACTGTACCTCTCTTGATAGTCTACAAACAGATACAGCAATGAGTCAGGAGCTAACATGGGCTCTGAATCACAGAGATCAGAATTCAATCTCTCTTAGCTTGGTTTCCTTCATTATAAAATCAGATAAGATGGTATCAATGTAATAAAACAAAATGTTCAGCTGAGAGTCCTCTATGTACTATGGGTTCAATATGACGGGGCTTTCCATTGTCACTATTGTATTTCTATTATCTGTTATGAGTTGATCTGTGTGCCTCACGCAAAATTCATACGCTGGATTCTGAAATCCAGTATGTCAGAACACAGCCTTAATTGGTAATAGGGTCACAGAAGATGTCATCAGGCAAGCTGTGATGCGGTCACAGGGCATAGGGTAGGCCTCTGAACCAACAAGACTGGCGTCCTTAAAAGGGAGCTAATTTGGACTCACAGGGAGAACACTGCACGGTGATGAAGGGGGAGATCAAGGTGATGCATCTAAGAACCAAGAACCCCACAGACTGGCAGCCAGCCAGCACAGGCTCAGGAGAGGCAGGCAGGCCCAATCCTTCCTCTCAGCCCTCAGAGGGCACAGACTCTGGCCACCTTGCTTTGACCTCTAGTTTGTAAGGAAAAGGGTCTGTTGTTTAAGTCACCTGGTCTGCGGCATCATTCGCAGGAACCCAGCACACCAGGCTGCTTGTTTATTGCTGGTGTAATTCATGTTTTTCAAACTCTGTGGCCACCTATTAGTGGATTCCAAAATGAATTCATAGTGGTTGCGAGTGCTTTTAAAAATGGAATTTTAAATGAGCAGAAGCGATTAGGTGCAATGCACTTGGTAGGAGATAAACACTGCTATACACAGCACTTTGTTAGATAAACAAAGGTACACAGGAATCAGATTATGATGAAAACGTAACATAAATTTGGGTCAGAGTTGGAAAAAAAGTTGAGGGCCACTTTTTAAAACCTAGGCCGAGCAGTGGTGGCGCATGCCTTTAATCCCAGCACTCAGGAGGCAGAGGCAGGCGGATCTCTGTGAGTTTGAGGCCGGGCTGGACTGACAGCCTCCAAAACAATACAGGCAAACCCTGTCTCGTAAAACAAAAAAACAAAACAAAACAAAAACCTAACTCCCCGTTTTCTCTAACCTCAGAAGCATTATCAATTGTCATTTCCTTTGGGAAAGGAAAAAGACAACCGTGTAAGAGACATATTGACAGAGACAGGGTGAGACACTGTTCAAGTAAGGGGACTGTGGTGGTTTGAATGCAATTAGCCTCCATTATCTCATAGGGAATGACACTATTAGGGGGTGTGGCTTTGTTGGAGTGGGAATAGCCTTGTTGAAAGAAGTATGTCACTAGGGGCAGGCTTTGAGGTTTCCTATGCTCATGATACCACCAAGTGTCTCAGTCAACTTCCTGTTTCCTGCAAGATGTGGCTCTCAGCCCCAGCACCCCGTTTACCCGAATGCCATCATGCTCCCCATTATGATAAAGGACTGAACCTCTGAAACTGTGAGTCACCCCAATTAAATGTTTTCTTTATCAGAGTTGCTGTGGTCATGATGTCTCTTCGCAGCAATGAAAACCCTATCTAAAATAGGGACCAACTGTCTTCCTATCCTAGCTGAACTATGGGCAGGCCCAAAACAACTTCCCAACCTAACAAAGGTGGTTGAACCCCAAATCACATCACTGTCCTTAAAAATCAAAAGGTAGGGCTGGGGGTGGCATGCAGCTCAGCACTACAGTGCCTGCCTTGCAGGTGTGAGGCCCAGGGCGCCACTCCCAGCATTGAAAAGAAAGTTAAATAAATAGGTAAAATTAAATAAAGCTATTACATGCTTATAACTCCAACTGCTCAAGAAGTTAAGGATCACTTATGTCTGGGAGTTGGTAGCTCATTGACATTTCAAGACCCTGGCTCAAAAACAGAACCTGAAGGATATGGTGGTGTTCCCAAAGGTAGTTTGGTTTTGTTGAAGAATAAGCATTAGGGGAGAAGGATGTGAGGAGATGAAGCTCAGGCCAGGCCATGAAGAATCCTGTGTGTCTTCCATTCAACACATACTTATTGGATAGCTTGTGCACCTTTCTAGAAATGCCACCATGCCCTGTGGTACCCAGGATCTCTGCTCCATTGCCTCCTCCAGCCAGCATGCCTTCCCTCTTGCCAAGAGGAGGCTTCGGTGCCACCATCTCCTCAGTGAGGCACCCCCTCTCCTGGAATCACTCGCACACCCCTTCCTCAAATTCTATCACAGCCTGTGCAAGTCCCTGGATGGAAGCTATGTCACGGTGCTGCTGGGGAAGGAGACGGTAGAAACAGATACCCGAAAGAGCAAATTTTACTCCGAAAACCTATAAACCCGAGCAATGTCATGCGTGCAAGAACCAGGGTGTCCTCTCCTCCGAGCATACGGAGATACAAGATTTTGGTAACAGAATTTCAACTTGCCAGCAGCAATCTGGTATTTAGTACAGATTCCCCTTAATATTGTTAAATAGCGGCAAACGGTACTTAAAAATAAATATAACTTGTAAAAGGGAAAGCATATGGCTTTTCTCAAATCAAGAAGACTATCTGCAGAGCCACACTTGCCAATTTTTGTCACAACCTTTGGTAACAGCTGATAACTCAGGGGAAGGGGAAAAGACAAGTTTCTTCTGAGTTTCCACGCGCTACCAGTGTTTCAAATTAAGAGTCTTAAACATTTCTGATCCCAAACTATGTTACCAGGCAGTGGTGGCACACTCTTTTAATCCCAGCACTTGGGAGGCAGAGGCTGGTGAATCTCTTGAGACTGAGACCAATCTGGCCACCTAGCTCCATCTCCAAAAGGCATGTAAAGGTGAATGGAAAAAAATCAAACCTACAAGTTGTCCTCTGACTTTCGCCTGCATGCTGAGGCACATGTGCCACATACAGGGAGGAGGACACACAGTAGTAATCAATATGTTTTTAAAAATACATAATTTTTAAAAAAATAATGAAGGTTTCATTTGTTTCCCAGCGTCAGTAAAAGAAACCTTAATATGAAAGTCATTTAAAGCTTTGTTTGGTTTGTTTTATAGTCCAGGCTGGCCTCTCACTCAATGTCCTGAGACTCTTGAATTCTGGGAATGAACACTTGTGTTTCCATGCCCACTGGAAACCACTGCTCTACTAACTTTAAAAATACTACAGGAAATTAGTTGGTAAAGTGCTTGCATCACAGGCTCGAAGTCCTGGGTTCAATCCTCAGTACTGAACAAACTGAGCCTGGAAACAGAGGATCAGAAGTTCAAGGCCATTCTCAGCTACCTAGCCAAGTTAGATAGCCTAGACTACAGAACATAGCCTGTCTCAAAGAAATAAAGTACTATCAAGAATATTGTCATGGTGCATTACAAAAATCCACCTGATAAAAACCCAATAAAAATTCAGTAAAAAAAAAAACAACAACAACATCCAAACAGAATGACAATAAGATAAAGAAACAAAACCATAGGACAACTGTAGCATCATATTCCAGAAATTACAAAGTACATAGCTATCTTTGTCCTTTTGGGCCACTTATGACAGTCTCAGAGCATGTTATATCCTCCAAAAGCAAGGGTACTTTATTGGAGGGTGTGAAGAAGGCTCCTACACTCAATGAGTTTCAATCCCCATGGCTAAGAGCCCTGCACTTGTTATGACAACCTGCTCAGCTTAGACCCCTAGGTAAGCCATACAACCCTCCAGCCTCAGCACCCACTGCCCCTGCACCTGCTATGACAACCTGCTCAGCTTAGACCCCCTAGGTAAGCCACACAACCCTCCAGCCTCAGCACCCACTGCCATTGGGTTCTTGTGGAGCAGGGTCCAAGAATGGAATTCTGGGTGCTTGTGAGAAAACTCCAAGAAAACAAGACCAGAGTCTTGTGATCTCAATTTCTTCAAAACATGGAATTGTTCTTGGAATGTGTTTTCATGCTCAAGTGTAGCAGCCAGGGGTGAGTTTACTTCAGATGACTCATTATTGCTTGCTATTAATTATATGCCTCTATGAAAAAGCATGTTTTTGTCACGTGTGGTCTATCCTTGTAACTGTATACTTTACTCATGTGATTCTTAACCCTCAGAAGATAAACCGTCGGATGCTCTGAAAAAGTTAGCTACTGCATGAGCCATT